TACACAGTAGTTTCACTGTCCTACAAATCAGTAGGTTGCCTTTCTACTTTGTTGATGGTTTCCTTTGCTCTGCAGAAGCTTTTTATTTTGATGTAGTCCCAATAGTTTATTTTTGCTTTTGTTTCCTTTGCCCTAGGAGATATACCTAGAAAAATATTGCTACCACTAATGTCAGATCCACCTTTTTAGTTATTTCTCCTGTCTCCAACCCATGTCAAACACTGCTCTTTTTACTGTCTCTCGTTTTTCTTCTTCATAATGTCATACAGTTGAAATCATACAGTATTTAGTTTTTTCAGACTCACCTCTTTCACTGAATAATGTGCATGTAAGTTTCCTCTATGTCTTTTGATGGCATCATAGCTCATTTCTTTTTATTACTGAATAATACTGCACTGGGTGGATGTAGCATAGTTTGCTTATTCATTGATCTACTTGAAAGGCATCTGGGTTGCTTCCAAGTTTTGGTAACTATTAATAAATCTGCCTTAAACATTTGTGTACAAGGTTTTGTATAGACATAACTTTTCAACTCATTTGCCTAAATACCTAGGAGTACCATTGCTAGATAGTATGGAAAGATTATGTTAAGCTTTGAAGAAACTGTAAGACTGTCTTCAAAATTGGCCATACCATTTTGTGTTCTCACCAGCAATGAATTGAAGTTCCTTTTTCTCTGCATCCACACCAGCATATGATGTTGTCCATGTTTCAGACTTAAGCCATTCTAGTAGGTGTATAGTGGTAGCTCATCTTAATTTTCAGTTCTTTGATGGGATATGCTATTGAGCATCTTGTCATAAGCTTATTTGCTATCTGCATATCTTCTTGGGTGAGGTGTTCAGAATGTTTTTGGTACTTGTATAATGATGATAGATAGTTATAATGATAGAATGAGGAAATACTACTGCTTTTGTTTTCTGGAACAGATTATGGAGAAACCATCTGGGTTGGAGCTTTCTGTTTTAGAAGGTTATTAATTGCTGATTTAATTTTATAAAAGATTTTGTCAGAGAAAGAGAGAGAGAGTGCACACAAGTAGGGGGAACCTCAGGCAGTGGGAGAAGCAGGCTCCCCGCTGAGCAAGGAGCCCAATGCAGGACTTGGTCCCAGGACCCTGGGATCATAACCTGAGCCAAAGGCAGATGCTTACTACCCAGGCGTCCCTGATTTAATTTTTTTAATAGATATAGTCCTATTGAGATGATTTATTATTTCTTATGTGAGATTTGGTAGATAGTGTCTTTCAAGGAATTTGTCCATTTCATCTGAAGTTACCAAATTTGTGGGCAACTAATATTATAATATTTTTATTATTTTGTTATTATTCATAGAATCAACAGTGATGGCCCATCTTTAATTTCTGATATTTTTTCTTTTTTTACTTGGTTAGGCTGGGTAAAGGTTTATCGATTTTATTGATATTTTCAAAGAATCAGCTAATGCTAATTTTTAAAAAGGCACAGAATATAAACTAGAAGGATATATTACAAAATGTTAATCATTATCTCTGGATGATGGGATTACAAATAGTTTTTCTTTTCTCCTTTATAGTTTTCAGTATAGCTAATACGTAGTTTTAAATGAAAAATTATTTTTCAGTAACATTGCCCACTGTTCAGTGTCTTTCCTCAAAATCAACATAGTTATAACCACTTTTTCATAACCTTCATGAGAAACCTAGTTCAGTATTCTCTTTTTTCACTTTTCATTAGGCTTTGTCTTTGGGAACTTTAAATTTGTTTCTTAGGGTAAAAGGGTACAAAAGAGAATAAAAATGTTCAAAAGAAGTACAATTATCTAAAAGAAAATGAAAGTAACACCTATTGAACTTGTTAGGTGTTTTGCATATGTTCTTATTTAATTTTTACTACAGCCTTAAGATGCAATCATTATCCTCATTTTAACAGATGAGGAAATTGAAGCCCAGAGAAAGTAACTTGCCAAAGGCCACATCTAGTATTTGGAAAGATATCTCAGTACCAAGGCTTTTTTAATTGCAAAGTCTGTTATCTTTCCAAGACAGATAAGGTAAAATGATTGGAACCAGACTTTGACCACAAATATATATCCATGGTTAAAAGGTTGATCTTTTGTTAGTCATTTACTATTAGTTTTCCTTTCTTTTCTTCCCCCCCCTTTTTTAAAGATTTTATTTATTCATTTGACAGAGAGAGCATAAGCAAGGGGAGTGGCAGGCAGAGGGAGAGAGGGAGAAGCAGGCTTCCCGCTGACCATGGCGCCTGATGCGGGGCTCAATCCCAGGACCCTGGGATCATGACCTGAGCTGAAGGCACTTAACATACTGAACCACCCAGGCACCCTACTATTTTCGTTATGACATTGCCTTTTATTAATAAGACTATTTCTGTAAGGTACCTAATTTGATCCTTTTGATCTTATACAACTTCATGTATTAACATTGCAAAATGAGAGACAATGTATTTTAGGGATATCTGATTTATTATCATATTCTGTTTGAGAAATAAAATAAGTCTGTACTATTTACTTAACTTTCATGACATGAAAAGATAACCTGGACAGAGAAATCTGGCCTAGAGTTGATTTTTCAAAATTTGTTTTCCAATAAATAAAATGATGTATCTCACCATCATTTATTTGGACTCAAAATCAAAAGTTCTGTAGAAAGAATAGTTATTAAATATTGGTAAGTAAAGTTGTAGATTTTTTTACCCAGCAAAATTTAAAGGCATTTATATAATTGTTGATTATTCATTGCCATTTATTTAACCATATAGGCATTTATTTTAATTAACGTTTCCTTGAAGAACTCTAAATAACTAAAATAAATGAGATAATCTCAGCATGCCCAATTTTATCTTACAACTGGTAATTGTTTTAATTATTCCAAAGTTTTTCCTCGATTCAACATACTTATCACTAAAACTTCATGAAACCTTACAGTGATTTTTCAAAAATACCTCTTCTCCAGGACTACCAGCTATTTTTAAAAATTCTAATGCTAGATTCCTTTCATATCTTTTATTCATGAAGCCATAATAAAAAAAAGCAGTAAGATTTCCTTGATCTATCAGAATTGTTATGCTTGGCATATGAGTCAAGTTTTTGCACAGTAATACTGCCTAACAAATAGCTCTAAAATCTGTTGCATCCTTATGGGTGATCTGATTCACTGGACTTCAGGGATCACTTCTGATGACTGCAGGTCCCAGTCTGAAGGAATAATAGCTGTGTGGGGCAAATTCTTTACATGTTGGATGGTTAAAACTCAAGAGAACTGGGGCAACTTGCCATACCTTTTAAAGCCTCAGCTTGGAATATATACGTCACTTTTCCCACATTCATTCTACTAATCAGAAAGCTCTGCCTTCCTAGTAAGAGACATTGCACAATTCCACATTCAAGAGTGTGAATGTATTATTCTACTATAGTGATAGGCCAAAGGGTTGAAGCAAATTATAAACCTGCATAACTACAATTCTGGGTTTTTAATTGTTTAGATTGCTTAAACTTTTTGATTTATCGGGTCATTTGCAAAAAAATGATCAGTTTTCTTAAACTGGTATATTAAAATTATCTGTCTTCTGCAAATTAACTGTTTTAAATACATTTGTGATTGTGTAGGATTTAAAAAATAATGACTGATGATCCTGCTCTTTTAGTAACTAGCCTTTGCATGGTGTTTTATAGTTTATAAAACATTTTCTCATTTTTTCATTTGATCCACAAGTAAGTTAGGTGATGGGATCTTTATTTTACAGATATAGAAATTAAAACAAAAACTTTATAACTTGACAAGGTTACAACGAGTAAGTTCTACACCAGATGGACACTTTAAATCCAATTATCTTTCCATTACCCTATACTGGGTCTCATGCTCCCATTTCCTACCATTTCTAAGTTTGGATAAATATTAGGACTATTTCTAGACCGTTGCCAAAACCAAAGAGAGCTGTCACTACACTTTTATACTCCAACAGATTACATTATCTTCTATTCTGACTTGTATATCTCAATTGATGCAAGAATTTCTTGGGGTCTGATCCTAACTGGTACTTATTTATTACCATTCCAAAAAAGGTAAGCTTATTTTCTTTGTAGTTTAACATAAACATGTATTCAGCTTACTTATTTCAAAAGTATGAAAGAAAATAACTGTGGTATACCAGTGCTTTTCAAATTAGTACCTGTGTAACTACTCAGATGATAATTGTTTCATATATTAGAGGTTCTATATAGGAATTTATTTCGGAAAGGAAATTAAGGGGAGTTTTACTGCAAGGAGTAAGTTTGAAAAATCACTGTATGTACCAAGTATAGGTAGGTTGGCAGTGTTGTTACATTGTCATAAAATTTATTCATCATAAAATGTTTGTTTTGCACAAACTTTCTAATACATTACTATAGTTGGATTATATGAAACATTCTTGTGGAAAAGAATTCATGTTTTGTGTTGAGTAAAGACTTGTTTACCTGCCTTTTACTCGAACTCTTACAACAGCACCTTTAAACAATACAATAAAAATCTGATTGAACTTCTTAGTTATGGATTTATACTTTTTTTTTTTTTTTGGAACAGCATTTCATTTTCTCAAATCTGTGGGCTTTTCTGGTGCTCTACTCCATTTCTCTGTTTTATTTTGCTTCCATGATGTGTAAAATTTATTTTTCCCCATACCTCCTTGTTTTGATTTCTTTCATAGTGAAAATTAAAAATTAATGATAAATTGAATCATTTAGGTTAGATGATACTTAAAACCCTATTGTTAGAAAATAAATTTATAACCAGCTCATTGTTCTTGCTACTTTGTCCCATAATAGTGCAAAATTACTCTCCTTACAGCCTTCTCTTGTTTATTTCTTTCTAGATGTTATCACTTTAATTTTAAAGTTAGGCCTTCTCCCCTTACTATTAGTAGTTAGTTTTTTTTATATGAGCCATTGCTGTGGAGAGTGGTAATTTTATTTGTTTGAATAAAAGTTAGTGTATTTAATGAATATTTTTCCCTCTTTTAAAGACTGTGAACCAGAAGAGCTGACTGACTGGTCTATGGATGAAAAATGTTCATTTTGTAACCTACAGAGAGAAGCAGTCAGTGTAAGTTTTAGTGCTATGAAATTATTTCTAAACTAATCGCACAATTGTAACACAATTTTTTTTAACTTAATTTGTTCTGAAAATTGATGACTTACAGTGGAAATTTAAACTTGATTTTGGTAATGAGAAGAAAAGTTTAAAGTCTTATGTTAGAAGTCTAACATTTAGCTTAACTTGCAGGTGAAATCACAAAACACTCATCTTTTTTGCTTATTTCACATTTCTTCCTTATAGCTCCCTGACTCATGAAGTTCAGTTTAGATCTGTTTTGTATTTAGGTAGACAGTGGTGAGCTTGGAGGCCTAGCTTGGTTTGAGACCACCCTATAGTCTGATTTCTTAGGAAACTATAGTTGGAGGATAATGTGGTACTACTTTTTAGCCTTTTACTCTCTTGAAGTCTTTTGGATATCAGAATTATTTCCTGTGTAAATGATTAAATAGCGTCTACTATAAACGGCATAAACTAGACAAGCAGCATCTTCTTGTATGGCGGGAAGTCCTAATTCTTTACTATTGTGAGAAAGGCTGGGAAGAAATGAGAACTTGAGAACCTGTACCCATTTTGGTCAGATTAGTGGGTAAACATACCTATTTTGTTGTTAAAACTCTCATTACTGGCATGCTATATAGTGAATTTATTCAGCAATGCATTTTGTCTACACTTCTCCCCCCCCTTTTTTTGGCTACAGTTTGCTAAGAAATAAAGCCAATTTGGTATCAGAGCTAAATTTCTTTTCTCCTGACTCCTGTCCCAATATTTATGTTCTCTCTATTTAATTTGTTAAATAGAACAAATGAGCATTTAGAAAATATTTTTTTGCTACTTTTAATGAAATTGCATGTATAATTAAAGCTGATTTTTTTATGTTGCTTTCTTATAATTTTAGGATTGTATACCATCTCTTGATTCTTCACAGTCAACACCAACGGAGGAACTATCATCTCAGGGCCAGTCCAACACTGAAAAGATTGAATGCCAAGCAGAAAATTACCTAAATGCACTCTTTCGAAAGAAAGGTAATATTGGTATACCTTGTCATTCAAAATTAGCAGTAGAGGTCTAGAATGTTTGTATTTTTCTCACACACATTTTTTTTTTAATGCCAGTCTTTATTCCATTTTTTATTATTTTTTTTTATCTTTAGTTTTTCTAATATTTTTAGGGACATTAGGATTCTCAGTTATTGTAGTGCTAGTCTTCTATTAGCCATTCCTTTTCACCACTCTTTTCTCAGATCTCTCCCTGACTTTATCAGACATTTTCCTCATCTACTATAGACAGATAGGAAATTTTTTTTATGCTTCTGGTCTTCCTTATTTTGTTGCTGTTCTCAAGACTTCAAAAGTTCTTTCATGTTCAGTAAGTGATAGATATACTACAAAGCTGTCTTTAGAAATGTAACAGTTAAATCATTTATCAGTCAGGTTGGAGTATATTTGCTGGCTTGGGGTTTCAATGTTTCTTTGGTAGCTTGAGTATGCTTACTTAACATTAAATGTCAAATGTTCTTTTTTGCTTCCTGTCTGTCTAAACTATTTAAACCAAATGAGGCTTGTTTCACTTGTTCCCTTACTTGATACACATGTATCAGAGAGAAGTAGTTTTTTATCTCTTAGTTACTTGAGAAAAATTTAGAAATATAGAACCTTCCATTTTTTGTTCTTAGAATTCTGTAGTAGTAGAGTGTCTTAATTTTTACCACATAGGCCCTTGGAGTGAGTCATGGTGTAAGGAGAATGCAGGTTGGGAGGAGTTATCATTCTGCCTCCCACTTTCCAGAGATCAAGAAAAACATTACTGTATTTCTTCTAGGTGTTGACTCTGCTTTACTCCTCTTTGAAATTAGGTTAATATCGGATATTTTTCTATTAAATTGATAACTTTCAGATTTTAATCAATAATGTTGAAAATAGTCATCATCTTTGAGCAAGGAGTCTTTTGTTTAGTCCTCAGTGTTATGAGTTCTTTTATATATTGAAATATGACATTCAGTATTCTATATATATATGATTCTTCTAATCACAGTGATTAGAAGAATCATTACATTAAAAAACCTAAAGTTAAGGGGTACCTGGGTGGCTCAGTCAGTAAGTGTCTGACTCTTGAGTTCAGCTCAGGTCATGATCTCAGGGTTATGAGACAGAGCCACTTGTCAGGCTCCGCGCTCAGTGGGGAGTTGGCTTGAGGTTCTCTCTCTCTCTCTCTGCCCCTCCCCCCATGCATTGCGTGTTCTCTCTCTCTGTCTCTCAGATAAATCTTAAAAACAAAAAAAACCCCTAATGTTAAGAACTTTTTTTTTTTAAGTGTAGGAGACTGAAAATCTTTTCCTGTGTGTTACTGAAGTGCTTAGTGTTGAGAAATTGGCATTTGTCTTGAAAAAACAAGTTCTTTTTTTAGAATTTTTTAAAAGATAGACTTATTTGAGAGAGAGAGAAAGAGAGTGCAAGTGGGGGGAAGGGCAGAGGGAGAGGAAAAGAGAGAATCTTAAATGGACTTCACGTTCAGCACAGAGCTTGTTGTGGGGCTCAATCTCATGACCCTGAGATCATGACCTGAGACAAAATCAAGAGTCGGATGCTTAGCCAACTGAACCACCTAGGCATCCCTAGAAATTTTTTATCTGAACCAATATTAAAAATATTTTACATGCTTTCTTTAAGAACTTTATAACATTAATTTAGAAAATTTTGTTCTGCCAGTGTATTTACACTTAAAAGAAGAATTATGTTATCAGATTTCTATCACTAAGAGAACTGGAAGAAACATCCACATTTATACATGCACAGAATAAGTTTCACTCACCTTAGAACTCATTACTCAGTCTCCTTTTCCTTGAGTTATTTGTAATGGTAGTAGCTAGAATTATCGATAATAATGACCTATAATTTTTGATAGTATGGAGTAACCTGTGCTCCATTGCCCTATTAAGAGTAATCAGAAAACACTTGGTACTATTTCAGCTGATTCAAGCATCTGGGTCTTCAAGAGGTCTCCTACCAAAGGTTGGGTGAGTGTTCATGGATATTTAGTGACCTCTCCATTTGGGGATAATCTTGGTTTTCTTCAAGATCTTTGAAGAGTTGCAGAGTTTTTAAATGGAAGATTCTTACTAGTGTCTTTTGCTTTACTTCGGGGTCTTACCTTTGTTAATTCCTTTATTTGTAGTCCAACGTGATTCTCCAGATTTAATTAAACGTAAGGATTTTTCTACTCATTTACTTGGTTTTGTTTTGTTCCTTATTTTTAAATTTTCTTTGAATAAAATCATTTTAGAAGTTTCCCAGTATGATCCAACTAGGATAAGGACAGAAGGTAATAACAGTATCTTTAAGTGATGATAACTCCTTCATTCGTTTAGGTAATTCTACTGTTAACTTTACATGGAAATAAAAGGCATAAACATATTTTAAAAAATAAACACTTCTGAGTCTTTGGAGTAACAACTAAAATATTGATCAAACATATTGTTGATGAAGCTTTTATTTGATTCCTGAAAATTTCCCAAATTCAGCCATTTTCAGGAATTCTGGATATTAGTAACATTAGTGTTACTGATACTTACAGATACTGATCTTTTGTTCAGTTTGAGGAACATATGTAAATCATCTTGCCAAAATATAAAGAAATCTTTTCATAGCTTTATGGTAGCTTATTATTTCTCCTCACTATGGTTTTGGGAAGATGATAATGATAAATGTAAGCTGTTATTAAGAACCCACTACACAGGATAATGATGATGATTGAGGTCATCATTTCTGATTGAGCACTAAGACCTTTTTATGCCTTAATCTCATTTAATCCAAAAACAGTGTTAAGAGAGATAGGTACTGTTGTTATCATTTTAACAGGAAGAGACAATGAAACACAGAAAATTTAAGTAATGTGTCTTTTAGTTCTGTTACGAACATTTGAGTCCTCAAGAAGTTTAAAAAAAAAAGGTTGAAAAGTGTTCTATGTGAGAAGCACCTAGATTCTTTTATGTACTAAGTAGAAAAACCTTCCTATTCTCTACTAGCCACTTAGGATTAGAATTATTTTAATTGAATTAGGCAGACTAGAGGGGACCTATGAGAAATGCTGTATTTCTATACATTTCCATTCTTCCTTTAAATGAACTAGAAACAGTTTAGTGATTAGTTTCCTTATAGAGTTTAATAATAGATTGGATGAAACTTATATACTAAATACAGTTTGGCCAATCCCTTGTAATTAAAAGCTAGTCAAAAATACTTTTTCAGGGTTGAGTAAATAGAATGGGGGAGGGTGGTATTTTAGTACAGAGCTGAACTTTTAACTAGCTTTGAATATTCCTGAGGAATTTTTCAGAATTGAATTCCTTCTAGGGGTTAACCCTAAAATTCTCTATAGAGTAGAATGAGAGCTCCATGATAATAGGCACTTTGTTTTGTTAATTGCAGTATCCTTAGTATTTAGAAGTACTTGTCCTATCTGTCTTCAGTAAATATTTCTTGACCATAAGAATGAGTACTAATAAACTGTTCAGGTATCTTCCAGTTTCTTTACATACCCTGGTATTAGTACTTGTTTTATTTGGAGAAAGAAATTAAATTAGCATGTACATATAGTTTACCTTTCCCGACTTTGTACTTAAGTTTATTACTGTGTATAGTTTGAATATCAGGCAGTTTGTTTTGAAGTGTGTAGGAACATAGGCTTATAGATATAAAATGCCTTTTCCAAAGTATCCCATCATAGGTAAACTAAATTATTTTGACTTTCAGCTTCACATTCTCTGATTACCTGAAGCAGTTTAAGTTACTGGTTTATGATTCAGGAAGATGTCTCATCTTTTATTTTTAAATTAAAGAAGGCTACTTGACTAAATTGGAAAGTTAGTATACACATAGTAGTTGAATGAATCATACTGCTAAATATATGATAAAATGAAATATTTCTTCATCAAAATATGTTTTTTCTGCTTTATCTTTCATCCCCACACACATTTTGCATTCATGTAACTACTGATCTGTTTTTTTGTTTTCAAAGAGCTTTCCTGATGTATTTGATGCAGTTAGTTTAAAGCTGATATTAACCAACCCTTTCCCCTTAAATTAATTGGTAGCCAGGTTTTATATAAAGTCTTTCAACCTTTCTGAACACAGATCCTTTTCCTTTTAAACTCTTAATTTTTAAGTTTTATTCTATATCAAGAAATAAATATTAATATGGCTCACTAACCATTTGGTTATGACTGATAGATAATAAAGCATTTGATTTTTTAGAAACAGGAGTGTTGATCTTTTAGATTGCTTTTCTATAAATGCAGGCATCCTTGAGTGACTATGTAGATTTGACCTGATTCATTCAAGCCCTGAGTGTTTCTTATACAAATGTGCCTTTATGAGACCATTGTGGGTCATACATTGAATTTCTCTTATACGGACTGCCTTTTGGAACTCTTAGGAAACTGTGTATTAGTGCCATAAAATAATTCACACACTATTATGGACCACATTCAAAAGTGTTGATGAAAAGATTTTTCTTGTTTTGTCATATACCTGGAAGCTATGAATGAAATTCTAAGAAAATACACTTAAAATATATAACTGGATTTAAAAGATTTTTGCATTTTTGGTAAAATCACCTTTCTACCTGCAATACCATCCATAACAGGAGTTAGGGGCCAACTATCAAGTCATTATCATCTAGATTTTTATCTCCTTTTATCTTTTTTATTCTTGAATTTGAGTCAGCTGTCCTTTTACAAGCACCCATATTTCTACTTTGTCTTCTGGAACTTGTGGTCTTTCATCAGCAAAATATCTTATGTCCTGTCTTTTCTCTTAATGTTCCCTTTATTTTATTTCTGTAACTCAGATCTACATATTCATAAAGGATGTTTTTGTAGCCCTCTCCCTTTCTGTTTTTAATTCCTTGCTTTATGTAATACAGGGTGATACCATTAGCAGATAACCTCTAATATCTTTATAGCTGCTTTCCCATCATTTAGTTGCCCTTCTCAAAACCCTGAGCTGCTTTGAAGCATATGACATGA